TTTGAACATATTTGCAAGTACAGTTTATACAACCAATACATAGACAGGTTGGTATACAGAGGTCTGTATTCTAGAGCTCATTCTGCTACTGATTCAGCTAACCCTTTATAAGTAACATATTCCATTTTTATATGTTTAAAATTTGAAGAATAATGCTAAGCCACCTAGCCTATTAGTTAATGAATGAGAGAGAGTTGCGGACTTTTATTTTATATGACAAAGTAATATACAAACTACCACCTATTTCATTACTATCCAAATGACAAGAATTAATAAATTAAAATATGCATAACATTGATGCATTATGTAGGCTGGAGTTACTGAGTCTAAAACTACAAATGTAAATTTATTTCTTAAAAAACATGCATTATACGTCTGATAGAAATAAACTAGTTTACTTTTACTTTTTGTTATAGTATTTAAAATCTTGTATTCTGGAATTTAGTCATACTTTTGAATAGATCCAGTGTTTGAAAGTTGTTGCTTTTGAGCTTTTAAAAAATAGACGTAGTACATTTAAATTTCTGGTCTGAAATTTCTCCCTTATCTCCAACAAGCTTTAGAACCTTAGAGCTTCCTGGAAGGCATTCACAACCCTGGTACGCTAGCAGATGTTTCTGCTTAACAGAGTTAAGTAAATTTGTTATGGAATTCCTTCTTTCCGCTTAATAAATACACACACCAGAAAACTTTCATGAGGGTTTAAATCATGAACTGCTGGGCCAGTGACTGGGGGTTTGTTTAGTAAATGCCCTGCCTGTTTTCACTTGTGGTATAGTTGATTTAAAACTCTAAAACTCTTATATGTAGTTTAGACCAAAAGCTCCCAAGTAAGTATCTTATTAGCAATTATTAAGTTCAAAGCAATAAACATTTTTTGAGCATAGAGTTTTTAAAATTGGAAAAAGCCCTAGAGATCTTTCTATTAAGTCCATCATTTTGCAGATGAAGAACCCATGCCCAGAAAGGCTAATTGGCCTCCCCAGAATCACACAATCAGGCTATGATCTGAACCTAGCCCTTCTGACTCTGACTCCAATTGTTTACTTCTTTTTTATTGCTTTGAGATATCTCAGAGATAGCATCGTAATCTTGTACTTTGCCATCTTCACTAATATTCTTATATCAATGCGTCATAAATAAACTCTGTATCTGACTCCCATACATTCACTTTTTTAAGTAGATAATATCAGTTGTATGCATCTCCTTTGGATCTTGATTATTAAGTTTAAAAATTCAATATAAATTAAAATGTTTGGTTCCTTGAAATATATTACTAGTATAAATATGATCTTTCTTTATTGCATAGATTTGTACCCCTAAGCGGTCAAAACAGAAAACTTGTGGAGGCCATAAAACAAGGTAAATGGGTGTACTATCTACAGTGGGATGAATTGGAGATTCCACCTTGCAAAAACAGAGTTTAGTTAACATTCCATGTGTTTAATTTAGGTCACATTCTTGAGCTACAGGAGTATGTAAAATATAAATATGCAATGGATGAAGCTGATGAAAAAGGATGGTTTCCATTGCATGAAGCTGTTGTCCAACCCATTCAACAAATACTTGAGATTGTTCTGGATGGTAAGAGAACATAAAACTTGTTTGACCAAACCAGAGCAAGAATATTGGTATGTTGATGTTATAAGTGTTTTCCATGAACATAACTAGCAGAAAGAAAAAACAGATTAAAATATTATTTGGAATTTGAAAAAGGCAGCATCTATGTTTTAAACTCAGAGTACAAAAATTAGCACTTTTTTGACATTCGGGTTTTACCTTTTGAATCCTTTTACCTATGAATAAGACACAGGTTGGTGGAAAGATGTGGTTATCACAAAAAGGTGATAAAATTTTGTATATATAATGAATTAATTGAGTCATATATAAAACTCTTCTTTTGGAAGTCAATTTAAATTTTTTCATTTTGAACTATCTCTTGAGTTAACAGTTTCCAAATGATTCTTATATAGTGCAGCAGGGAGTACTGACAATATTTGTCTTTATATTACATTGATGTTTTCATAACATAAGCATTAAAAAATATTGTGGTAAATCAAGCTAGTGTTAAATATTAACAATAGCTTTTATGTTCTAACACAGTGTTTTCATATCTCAGCATCTTACAGAACACTTTGAGAGTGCCCTTTCAACTTTCACTGCTGCATGACAGCTCTATGTTCTGGGAGAGAAAAATAGATACTTGATAATTAGCCAGCCATCTAGAAAGCTAGACAGCTAGACAGACAGATATAGATAATGTCGAGGATCATTTTCCCACAGTGATGCCTATATTCAAGTACATTCTCATTCCCACATTCAGAGACTTCATTTGACAAAAAAAAAAAAAAAAAAAAAATTTCAGTTACAATATAAATAATACAAAGGACTGAAGCATTGTTTTGTAATGTATCAAGAAATGAGACTTAGCGTGCCATTTTCAAAAAAGCAGCTAGAAACAGATTTTGCTTTTCTAGCTGTCAATTTGATTAGCAAGTCAATGTGCATTTACTTTATCCTCAGTTGGTAAACTTTTGTCAAAGTCTTTTCATTTTCCTCCATTGACTTTGCTCAATCTGATGTGTATCATATTGGGTTGCTCTGATTTGTGGGATATCCTGTAAGTACGTATTTTCTACTTTTCAACATAATGCTTTCATGTCACAGCATCCTATAAGACACTCTGGGAATTCAAGACCTGTGATGGAGAAACACCCTTGACTTTGGCAGTCAAAGCTGGTCTGGTGGAAAATGTAAGAACTTTACTAGAAAAGGGAGTATGGCCCAACACCAAAAATGACAAAGGAGAGACCCCCCTTCTGATTGGTAAATGACTTTTTTTTTCTAGAGCTTTTATAGTTTGAAACAAATAATAAGTATTTATTGGAAACCACCATATAATGGCTAAAACTGTGATCTCAGTTCCTTCTATTCCCCGAGCTACTTGCCTAACCCCGTGTCTTCTGTCCTGTGATTTTGTTTTCCTGTTCCACAAGGATGTCAAATATGAAAGATGGCTATATCCTTCAGTATCCGGTTGTAGAGACTGCAACTAACCAGGAGGGATCTCAATTAGTTTTATGAAGCCAGAGATACCAATTTGAAAGGAATATTCTCTAGGTAGGACCAGGTGTAAGGAGGGTTGCATGTGCAATATATAGCCAGAAGCAAGAGATGGAAAAAGATTCTAAAGAGAGACATCAAGTTCACGTCATACTGATCAGGCCAAGCTGGAAGGAAGGGGAGCCCACAGATTCTGAGCACACAGATACAGCCCATGGCTCCTGTGCTGTATAAATACAGCATACATACAGTGTATAGAGGGGTACACTGTGACACAACAAAGGATCAATGGGAACTCTGAAGGTGACATTCACTGGCTGTCTTGTATATCCTGCTATTTGTTCAACAGTAAGAATTGGCAAGTCTGTTTGTGAAAGCAGAGAGAGATAAGATTAACTCCAAATGACCCAAAGATAACATTTCCTTTCTCTTAGGGACATAGGTGGTGAAGTCAGAATTTGGTATTCGCACATGAGATCAGTGGGTTTAAATCTTAGCTGTGAATTGCAATCATGGGCCTCAGTTTTCTCATGTATAAAATGGAAATACAACACCTACCATGCAGAATTGTGATTAAAAATTAGAGAAAAAAATACATAAAAGCTCTCATATGTAATAGATGCTCAAGAAGGGAGAGCCATTATAAAGTTGTCTGTGTGTGGCAGGAGGAGGAGAGGGAAGAGGGACAGGAGGAGAGGGAGGAGAGAACGTAAGATTATTTACCAGCAATCACAGAGGAATACATTAAAAGTCATAGCTAGTTAAGAACCATCACAGCTCCTGTTCAGTGAGGAATCACTAAATAAATAAATAACCAACCAACCTAAACAACTTGAATATTAAAAAGACCTGAATATTGTTAAGCAAACTTGGATAAATCATGAACATTAGTAAAACATTTATATATGATGGCACTGATTCAACAATATCAACGCAACAAACATATATTAAGAAGTCACATTAAGCCAGAGGCTATCTGGGCAGTGTGGATATAAAGATGAATGGATTAATCTTCCTCCTCTCAACGTCCAGGAGAAGAGCTAGATGTAATTTAAATGGAAAATTCGTGTTATAAATGCTATAATTAAGTATATATTTAAACTAAATTGGGAGAATAAAAAAGTAGTGAATCTGTGAAGCCTTCAGAGAACCTTGCTGTTGGATTGTCTTGACGGTTGTATAGGGGAACGTTAGCAGACAGAGGCGTGGAAGACTCCTAGGCAGGTATTCTGCCCCGATACACCTTGCTCTATGAAAAGTGTCGCCACAGTGCGGTGTCAGTTTGGCCTGGTTCCTTCTTACCTACTCTTGCCCCATGTCAGAGCTTTCAGCCTTGACAAATTCAGATAAGATGGGAAAAGCAATCTGATCCATATAGTTAGAATACAGACAAATCTGCAACAAAAACCAAAAACGGATACACAAAGCAAACAAAAAAGAATGACTTAAAGAGAAAGAAGTCATTTCTCTGACACACATTGCAGGGTGGCCCACAGTTGTCAGGGTGGCTGTATCAACATTACAGTGTGCTTCCTAGGTTATGACTCCCAATGTCATAATTTTCCAGGCAGCAGGACGGAGGAAAGAGGAAGCCCTAGGAAACCATCTTCAATTTAAAAAGATGACCTGGACAGTGCACATGGCCCTTCCACTCATATCCCATTAGGTCAGATTTTGTCACAATGACACAGCTTGGAGCAAGGGAAGCCAGAGGGAGGCCGCGACATTTAGTGCCTACCTGGATGGTCTGTGGCCAGCTAAATACTTGGGGCCTCTGTGGTTAAAAGGAAAAGGGGAAACACAAATACTGAAAAACAAATCATAGTCTCTGGATATGTTTTAGCCTGCCTTTAAATCACAGTAACATGACACTTTTCATAAATAAACCAGAACTCTTTTCCTGAGCAGGCTCTACAGACATTAAACAGAAGACGTACCTGTGGGTGTTGACTCACCACTAGTAATGTGACCTGTATTATTTAAAGGCCAGAATATGCCACAGAGTATTTGCAACAACATCCGTGTTGTTTCTATAGATCACCTTGAATTTCTGCAAAAAGAAAAGGGACAGAATTGTATACTGCTTCACTTTGCAAATAGAGAATTATTATCTACTTGTTAGTTTCAATCCACTTATTTTTAAAGGACAACTAAGCCATGATTAGCACTCCTTTGTTTTCTTTTGGCTTCATTTAAATTTTTCTTTAATGCTTAAGGCCTATAATGGAGCAGTAAACATTTACATGCATTTCAAAGTTGCATATGTTGGTTTCATTCCCTATGCTGGCAATATCTAAGGTGTAGGAAAGGAACTCTATCATTAAGTTATCAGAATTTGCATAGAATTAATATTTGGAAATAATATATTTTAAAAACTAAGTGGTAATGTCAAGAGAGGACTAAAGTCTCCATGAAGTTAATATGCTGGACATGCTCATGTAAACCCTCATTAGCCACAAAACTGGGGAACAGGGACTTTTCCTGGGTTACCTTATTCGGCACCTTTGCTGTAGAACCCATGCCAAGTCTTCATAGGTTTTATAGGAAAATGGATTATTCATGGCGCTTACTCAGTTTGTTCTTTAATCTATGGGCTTCTTTGAGATTTCCTATTCAGAGTCCCTTAACTTGTAGCGGAGAGACACGGGGGAAAAAAGTATTTCTTCTTTTTGTCTGTACAATGTCATTTTTATTTTTCTTATTCTAATGCCATCATCCTTATCTCTATTTATGAGATATCCTGAGAGGGTCAAGAAAAAAATCACTTTTGGTCCCTCCAGGGCCCTTATTCCTTATCAGTCATTTGGCCCTTCCTTATTTAAGGTATTTTGATACACTCTAGTCATGTTATACAGTTACTTGCTGAGTGGTAGGTATCTGATTTGTGAGGATGTGACACTTATTAAAGGTTTTTGCACTTGGACTCCTCCTCTGCCCACCCCCCTGGAGTTGGTGTCACCTTTCCCTAGTTGGATAGCCACAAGCTGATCCTGGCCAGTGGAGCCTAGAGTAAGGAGGATGCTCAGGGAACCGCCTGGGATGACATCTCAGTCCCACTGCCCTCCATTCCTGATGGCCTTATGCCATCTATATGCCATGTACAGATCAGCTCATTTTGCTTCAGACATTTTCTTTTCACCAATCAATATACATCCTCTTCACTCCATTTCCTCTTTTAATCTCCCAGTCCTTGTCAAGACAATCAATAACCCTTGCCTATCATCTATGCAAAATTCTTAATCTAATTCCCTAAACTCTTCAACTTAAGGTCAGTTTTCTTTAAGCATTACTATTGAAGCTATAAATTTAAAAAATTAATAAAGAATTTGAGCATTTCTGAAGAAATTCTAAAGAATTTTAAATTCTAAATTTTAGAATTTTAAGTTCTAGAGAAAAGAATTTTATATATACTATGTAAACATATGTATATGTCCATATGTAAAACAAGTCATTTTCAACTTAGTATTTTACTTAATCAGCTTTGTTACATCAATACTGTGCCTTAGTGAGTTTTCATTATTTCAGTCATTTATTGGTTAAGAATGTCTTCATGGATTAGCTTGGAAGGGGTTTCCTACCATTTGCATTATTTCTATAGGAAGTACATTCTTAATTTCAAAAAATTAAATTGGAAGTGAAGTTTTGATTTTTTTAAAACTATTTTAAGTTGAAGATGACCCATTTATGCTGTTATTTTCAAGAAGAGAAACTATTAATATGAATCAATATGTTTTCTGAGTCAGACAAAAGGTAAAAAGATTATGAGGGAAGAGGCTCATTATTTTGATACATTTTTTTTCTAATTAGGAAAACTGCCATCAGAGCAAGATCAATGAGGACACGTTTCCTTTAGTTTGTTTAGCTTACTTGATGTTTGCTTTGCAATAACACCAGCTGGCATGAGGTAATTCACTGTAATTAGAGCTGCCAGTGACAGTTGGGCAATTCGGAGAGAGGCATTTGTCAACAAGTTCTACTTTAGACAAGGAGCAGGAGAAAAACTGGAATCTTCTGCAGGGATGGCTTGCCTGCTCCCAAATGAAGTAGGCAAAGTTTCTATTCATCCTCTCATTGCCACACTGGGAGCTGCTCTCCTTGCCTTGGCGTTAGATCCTTTCTGCGATCTGCCTCCTGGTTACTCCAGAATGTTCGATTCAGCCTCACATTTCCTTCTGTGTTTCCCAGGATAGGCCCAGACCTCGAGTCTGTCTTTCAACAGAAGGTAATAGAGGCTTCTTCCCTTGACTTTAGATCCTTTCTGCAATCTGCCTCCTGGTTACCCCAGAATGTTCGATGTAGCCTCATATCTCCCTCTGTGTTTCCCAGGATAGGCCCAGACTTTGAGTCTGTCTCTCAATAGAAGGTAGCATAGGCTTCTTCTCTAGGCTGTAAACTCTACAGGTGAGATCCAAATCTGTCTCTTCTTCTTGTGGTCCACAGTGTGTAACACAGAGCCTTTAGTAGAGCCAGCCATATTAACTGAATAATAAATGAGAGTGAATGAATGAATGAGTGAATGTAAGTGTGTACATCTTCATTTGTAGGGGGTAGCACTCATCCTATCTATTTTTCAATAGATTTTACTTACAAGAAAAAAAAAGCTACATTTTAAGAACTGTATACATCTAAATGAGGACAATATCTTAATAATCCAAAAGGGGAAAAACCTTTTAACTGTATAATTTCAGCCGTTACAGACGAGCAGAGAGGGACAGAGAAATCTAATTTTCTGAACTTTCTTAATTGTACTACATTAACTGCCGCTTACTTCACCCACTGGGAACAGCTAGCCTATGTAGATTCTAAACAATCTTACTAATAATCATCCATTAAAAATATAAGAAACAGAGGCCAGGTGCGGTGGCTCATGCCTCTAATCCCAGCACTTTGGGAGGCTGAGGTGGGTGGATCACCTGAGGTTGGGAGTTCAAGACAAGCCTGACCAACATGGAGAAACCCAGCCTTTATTTAAAAAAATACAAAATTAGCCGGGCTTGTGGTACATGCCTGGAATCCCGGCTACTCGGGAGGCTGAGGCAGGAGAATTACTTGAACCTAGGAGGTGGAGGTTGCAGTGAGCCGAGATTGCGCCATTGCACTCCAACCTGGGAGTGCAAGAGCAAAACTCCGTCTCGATAAATAAATAAATAAAATAGGAAAGAGAAGTTCATTCAATACTTACTGCTATCTTTTGTGAGATTGGGGAAGTGTTTCTATAGGGGAAAAGCTGATAAACATTATTTACGTATGAGGTTCCCGGGTCCTAAGAATGATATAATGAAATAATAGTCAGTTACTGAGCTCCTGTTACATACTAGGTACTATACTGATAATTTTACATACATTATTTAATTTGTGCAATCCAACAGCAAATGTTATTTCAATTTTGTTGGTGAAGAAATTAAAGTTTAGAAAGAGAGCACACAGCATTCTATCCTAGTGATGTGTGTTATTTTCTGTGAAAATTTTACCCCTCCCTCCAGGTCTTAAAGAAAGGTAGTGTCGTCTTGTAAACTTATATTTCACAAATATAAACTTGGATATGAGAAATTGGAGGGATATGAGAAATGCATTATTTTCTTTGGAGAAGAAAATACTAGCTAATATCTATTTCAATATTAAATTCAGTCATTAGTTTATACCATCTAAAGTATTTGTGTTAATATACTTACTGTTGTTTTTAAAAATCTTTTTCAAGCTGTAAAAAAGGGCTCCTATGACATGGTATCTACGCTGATCAAACACAACACTAGCCTAGACCAGCCCTGTGTCAAGCGATGGTCAGCAATGCATGAAGCCGCCAAGCAAGGCCGAAAAGATATCATAGCTCTGCTGCTAAAACATGGAGGCAATGTCCACCTGAAAGATGGATTTGGAGTCACACCCTTAGGCGTTGCTGCCGAGTTTGGTCACTGTGATGTGTTAGAACATCTAATCCACAAAGGTATGTGAAAAGGAGTTACAGTTTTCTGACTTTTGTCCTGCCTCTCAAGCTCTCCTTTTCGATATTCCTCACTCTTCCTTCCCTGAATGTAACTAGGGGAGATCCTCTTCCTCTCCTGAATGGAACTTGGCATCAGGCTTTCATACCTGATCCCTCAATAGATCCTGACTCTACAACTCAGCTAAGCCCTATACCTTGTGACCTACAAATCTACAAGCCCAGTCCTGATTGCTCTCTCTAGGGACAGTTCAATCTGCATATAGATGGCTCATCAGGGCCTCAGGCTTATCTGCTCCTAAACGGAATTCCTCCTGTTTTTCTACTTTTCTGGTGTGATAATTTCTCTCATCATGATCTCTAATTCCTCCATCATAGGCTTTCTTAAATCCAATCAGTTGCAAAGTCTTGTAGCGTTTCTCTTGTCGTCTCGTTACAATCTATCTGCCATCCTGGTCAGGTCCCTCAATCCTCCCTGGACCAGTGCAAATGCTTTCTAACCATTTTCTGGGTTTCTAGTCTCCCATCAGAGAATCATAGTAAATACTGCAACTTGGTTCCTCTCCCTCAAGGGCAGCTACCATAGTGTCAACTAGTCAAAAAAATAATCCCTATTACATAATCTCCAATTGTTTTACCACATTTATCCCTTACTGCTCCTATCTTGTATACTACACTCCAGTCAAAATACACAAGCAATATTCCCAAACGTATCTTGCATTCCTTCTCTCTGGGTTTGGGTCAGTTCTTTGCCTTCATTTCTTCAGCACAATTCAAAGTCAATCTCTTGAGACACCTCCCTAAATCCTTTCCTAATTCTTTACAACAGATTGTGACATTGCTGTCCTTTATACAACTACAGAACCATGAGTTAAGGAGACCTAACTCCTAAACTGGTTGAGCCATTATTCATGTGAGACCCTAGCCTTGTTCCTTAAATACCTGGCCCTCAGCGTCCTCATCTGCAAATGAATGCTAGCATCACATGATTCCCAGTGATTCTCTATGGGAAAAAGACTAATATTTTTGAGGTCTCCCACTATAGCCACATTTAATTATCAAATAAGCCATGTGAAGTAGGCTGTATTAATCTTTCACAGATGTGGAGTTGGAGGTGCATTGAAGTAAACGGCTTGTCCCCAGCTCTCACCATAAGCAGCAGAGCCTCTGTCCTCTACATCATGTCTCTTTGTCCTAATGTCACTGGAAAATCATACAGTTTGTGCTGTCTGATATTTTGTTTCATTTCCCCTCTAAGCTCCTTAGAGTAGTCACACTCATTCATCTTAGGGTCACACACACTGATTGCACATAGAGGGCAATAAAGTATTTGTTAATACTTTATTAACTCTAAGTATTTGCTAAGTGAAAATAGAGTAGGCCGGGTACCATGGTTCATGCCTGTAATCCCAGCACTTCAGGAGGCAGAGGTGGATAGACCACTTGAGGCCTGGAGTTGGAGACCACCCTGGCCAACATGGTGAAACCCTGTGGTGGCACATGCCTGTAATCCCAGCTACTCAGGAGACTGAGGCAGGAGAACTGCTTAAACCTGGGAGGCAGAGGCTGCAGTGAGCTGATTATACCACCACACTCCAGCCTAGTCGACAGAGTGAGACTCTGTCTCAAAATAAAACAAAACAAAACCCAAAAAGCTATTGCCTTTCAATTAAAAAGTCTAATGAGCCTTTTTTGGAAGAATTTACCCATCATAAAAATTGATTTCATTTCTCTCATGTTTTTTGGCCTAAAAATTTTTTAATAAAACGAAGCATGCTGCATGCATGAGTGTTGATTGAAAATATAGAAAACATGGAGGTCTTAATTCCATACTTTTTAAGTCCTAACCAGAAAGGAACTCAAGAGGTTGTTTTTTAGGGGATTGTTTAAACAATACCATCCAGTTATGATTATGCCACATGTTTTCTTCTGCCAGGTGGTGATGTGCTTGCTCTGGCAGATGATGGGGCGTCGGTGCTGTTTGAGGCAGCAGGAGGTGGCAATCCTGACTGCATTTCCCTCCTGCTGGAATATGGAGGAAGTGGAAATGTACCTAACCGAGCAGGGCATCTTCCTATACACCGAGCTGCCTATGAGGGGCATTATCTGTGAGTGATAAATTATAGAGTTATTGAGTTAAAAACGCAAATTTGTATATTCAGTACAATCACAAGTCTATATATAATACCCTTCAAAATCCAAAGAGCAGGAGGTGAAATCTTCACATTTTAATGCTTCATCTTTAGCTGCTTAGAACTTTTTTGATATTCCTGTAATTCCAAAAAATGAATTTATAGTACTTTATAATGGAAAGAAATTTTCTTTTAGAAGGAATTAAGGCATAAGTGAGAATTCTGCACAAGCCACCCAAGAATGCCTTTCTGTTTACAAATGTATTTAACAAAAGGCTACAGTTTCTAAAAATTTTGTCCTTGACAAAGGATTACAATTTGTAACAATAGTGTCAGTGTTATTCCAATTATTTCTTAATATCTCCAGGATATTATAGTATAATGTCAAATATATTCTTGAATAGAAAAGTTCCATTGTAAGTTTAGAATTCTTTATTCCATACAAATGGTTGAATAGATTCTTAAATCACAAAATGTGCATAATTAACACATTGGTAGAAGTCTAGATCACTATATTAAATTACCCACCATGAGAAGATGGTTTTAGGCAATTAAATATATTTCATAGGCTCAAAAACTTTGAAGTAATTGGGCTTTATAGTTTTCAGTGGGCCACTGGCTAAGTGGCCAGTGATGCGTAATTGATGCTAAGTGACATGTTGTTAGAGTTTACCTGGATTTACTCCCAGTGTTCATAAATTTGCACAGTAGGCACAAGAGATCAAGTTATCCTTGCCTGTGGCTCTCATACATGTCTAGCTGGTTAGTCAAGTGTGAAATTCACAACCATATCACATGTACTTAGAAATATAAACCATAGTTGGTTATCTCAACTGGACTGATGCAAGGTTGATGAAATACTAAAGACTCTTCTTTTGGCTAATAATTCAATTGCAAGTTATATGGAAGCAGACAATGTACAAGGTCAATATTAAAAAATAGATTGCGCAGGAATCAGTGAAAGGGGAATAATTCATGAGAATTCGAAAAGGCCCAAATTCTCATCCTTGCTCTACCTCTAACTGTGTGACCTTGGGCAATCATTTTGCCTCTCCAGACTTTAGATTATTCTTCTGTTAAATGAAGCAGCTGGACTAAATGACATCCAGGGTCACTTCCTATGACCCTGTGATCCTAATGGTCAAGATTACAAAGCACTCCTCTATGGCATTAGAAAAGCTTACTTTTCTTCTATATTTTTAAAAATAGTATTGGTTGCCTGGAAATATTATATTGTTCAGAGGAGAACTGGAAGAGGGTGAGGGTTCCTGAGGAACCACAATTCTAGGACAAAACATATAAGATGCAGTGTGTTTCCCAACAACATTTAGAACAGAAAGCTAAATCAAAACTGAGCTAAATTACACTAAGCTAAATAGTTGTACCTCAGTAGACAGAAGTTAAATGTTTCAGCATAAGGTTATCTAGAGAAAATAAGGGAAACTGTACAATTTGCATTCACTTACCTAACAAGAACAGTTTATTTAATTTCTTGATTTTCTTTATGGTACGTAGATACTTGACTTTTTTCTTGTAGTGCACTGAAATATCTTATCCCGGTAACATCTAAAAATGCAATTCGGAAAAGTGGGCTAACACCAATTCACTCAGCGGCAGATGGACAAAATGCACAGTGTCTAGAACTGCTCATTGAAAATGGCTTTGATGTCAATACCCTACTTGCCAACCACATTTCCCAGAGCTATGACGATGAGAGGAAGACTGCGCTGTATTTTGCCGTTTCTAATAATGACGTTCATTGCACAGAAGTCCTTCTGGCTGCAGGTGCAGACCCAAACTTAGATCCCCTC